CGGGGGCCGGGGGCAGGAGCCGGGGTAGAGCCCGAGCACGCCGGGCAGCGGCCCCTGCGTGCCCCGCCTGGTGCCCTGCTCGCCCCCCGCTCGCACCCGGGCGGACACCTGCACGTACCTAGCTCGGGCAGGCTTCGCTCCGCTCCCGCGCACACGCTGCCTTCAGAGTGACTGGAGCAAGCAGACACAACCCCCTCCCCTTCTGCAGGCAGATGCGAAGAAAACACACACGGGGGCGGGGGCCCTCCCCCCCCCCCCCCCCCTATGCCCCCCCCCCCCTTAATGGCCCCTTCCACGTTGATTAAAAAAGAAAAAGTCCTAGATTTGTTGTTAGGTTTTTTTTCCTTGCAAGTCCTAGAATTCACTTGAGCCCCTGTTATTTTCTTCGTGGCTGGTTTGTCCCAAGTAGCATCCGCAGGACGGTTTCAGATGGCTTCTTGTCACATGGGCGATGTGTAGACGTCTCCCAGGTTTCTCTTAAAGCACCTTAATAAAAGTTTTGTTATTTTGGTTTGGTTTCAACTGACCTTTGGATACTTTGGTCTGGATTGGAAATCCAGAAATAAATAAAACAAGTCAGTGTTACTGGTTGTAACCAAAACTGTTGAGTAAGCACTCTTAGAAGTGGATTTTGCATTCCTCTCCAAGTTATCTCTCTTACTGTTGTTGCTACTTACATCGTATCTTGCTAAAGGAATTGCACAATTGTTTTGTTCCTTCCCAAAATAATTTGTCGGTTGGAGCCATCCTGCTTCTTGCTGTAGCATAGGACACTGTACTTGCTACAGTCATTTGCGCTCATTTGAATTGCAACCATGGTTTAGGACTGTTACTACTTCATGCATTATTTATGTGTGATTTTTTTTTTTCAATCTTGAAAGTCCATCCAAATTACATGACTAATTTATTGGGAAAGCTTACATGGGAAATCAACAAAATATTCTATGCCTTGAGGAGTACACAAATGATTACAGACAGGAATCTGAAACTCCGCGCTCCTTGGGGCAAGTTATGGAAAATACATTTTTAAAGAAACTTCTTTTATTTCTACAGGATAAAACCTAATCCTTTTGTATTTGCTGTTTTTCTTCCTCCTTTCACCACAATTCAGTAGCTACAGACTGACTATTTCAAGATGTCTTAATTTTATCCCAAATAAGACAACATTTGTAAAATGCTTATCATTAAGTCAAAGTCTGTACTTACAAAAATTGTTCCCTAGTGCCCTCTAGTCTTTAAAATACTAATGAAAAACTGCTTAACCAAACATTCCCACAAGGGAGAACATTTTACCAATAAAACACAAAATATGATGAATATGGCATGATTATATTAAGACCACCATGCTGTTTTATGAAGCAATAATCCTCATTCCTAAGAGGATAAACTACAAGGCCAAAGACCAAGTAGTTTATTTTAATAAGGAACTTGGATTATTGGTTTAGAAAAAAAGGTCATGCTATTAACATGTTGAAAGTCTTTTAAAGTTTATCTGTTACTATATTTCTCATTATCTGATTGATGAATCATTGTTAATGATTTTGTTAGTCACATAAAGCGATTTCCTTAGAGTTCCAATCTGGCTGAAGTAGCGTTACAGTTGTGTAATATCAGCAGAATACACAACGAATTACAGTACATTTATATTTGTTACCTAAGCAGTATTAGATCCAGTCTCCAAAGGTGAAAGGCCAATGCGTTAACTCTCAGTGCCTTGAAACTACCAATTAAAAGACAGTGTTTTTCAAAATTCATATTTATCCCTGAAATAGGTTTACAAAAAAGTGGTCAAAAAGGCAAAGGGACTACAGGGTTCAATGATTCATCTCTAACAATGTAGTGAATGGTTGTGTAGACTGAAATGCATCAAAATCTTTCATTTTATTATTTCACAATACATTTTAAGAAATGTTTTAAAAGTAGGGGTGCACAGATAAAGATTTTTGGGGCTGATACCAACAGCTGATTTTTATGGAGGCATATCAGTTGATACCAATCCAATTTCTGATACGCAGCCCGGCAGCTTGACGAGCGCTGTCCGGCTGGTAAGTCTGTTGTCATGGAAAGAGGGCTGGTAAGTCTAAGTCTGTTGTGGTGGAAAGAGAGGGGGGAGGGGCATGGGTGGGGGGCAGATCGAGGCCCCTGCGGTGAAGGAGGGAGTGGGGCTGGGGCTGCCCAGCCAGGGCAGGGCACGGTATAGAGTCGCAGCTCATCCAGGGGTCACGGGGGGTGGGGAGAGTCCCACCAGTGTGAACACCCCAGGAGGGCATGGGTGGGGGGTGCCTCTGGATCTGTGCGCAGGGTGGGGTGGAGCAGGCTGCCACTGCGGGCTGGGTCCAGCCTGCACTCAGGGTGGGCAGCGGTGGCACTAGAAGGAGGCTAGGGGGGCGGGGGCTGCAGCCAGCGCAAAATTCACCATAGCCCCACCATAGCTCCCTTCCCAGCACTGCCGCCACCCACCCCAAGCACAGCCTCGCACAGCCCTCTCTGGGAAGAGCCCACAGCAGCTCTGGCCCCAGCCCACAGTAGTAGCCCACCCTCACCCCATATAGATCCAGGGGGCACATGCCCCCATGCCCCTCTGGGGTGCGTGCAGCAGCAGGAGCCATCCCCCTCTCCCCACACCCTCTGGACGAGCCACAGCTCTGTCCTGTGCCCTGCCCCACCCCAGCTGGGTAGCACCTGCACTTGCCCCAGCCCCACTCCCTCCTTCACTGCAGGGGCCTTGATCTGGCCCCCTCCCCACCCCACCCCACTTCTTCCACCACAACAGACTTACCAGCTGAACGCAGCTCTCCAGGCTGCCGGCCTGTGCTCCTCACCACCTACGTGCTGCGCTGCAGCTGCATGCATGCATGGGGCATTTATCGGCCACATTATTGGCCACATCAGGCTGATTTCTGATACAGTCAATTTTCTTTATATTGGTGCCAATCTGATATCAGACAGATGTATCAGTGCAGCTCTATATAGAAGTATATATGCTAGGAATATAACTACAAAGAACATATAACAGTCATGTAAAGTAGTTACTATGGAACAACTCTGCTGAAAAGCAGAGGTAATTAAATAGATATACATACCTGTACATGTTATAGAGATAAGAACCTGGCCTCATTGAAATCATCCAGAAAACTCATATCAACTTTGACAGGATTTTACTCCAAGTAATAGAAAAAAAGTGCAGTGGTATTATTTATGGAAGCCAACATGCACAAACACTACATATTTTAGTTTCCATTTGTATCAAATTAATCTCTTAAAATGAATAGGGTTTTAGGGGAAGAGTTGGTTAAATGGTCCCTTTGCACGTCATCCCCACTTCTTCTCTGCAGAAATTACTGTGGATTTTCCCCATAGATGTCACCATCATGTTGGTCATACTGTTTTGGTACTCCAACCTGGATCAAAGCTCCACAATACTAGACACTGTCCAAACATATAGTAACAACT